AAATTTCCTCGTAACTGAAGGCAAGGATTATAGCAGCATTCACCAAATTAAATAAGGCAAGTGTCCAGAAGAGATGCAGGAGATTCCAAAGTTATCTGGAGACCAATGGTGATTTTATGGAATATATTTACTTTTTAGTATTTCAAGATATTTTTGTGTAATTTTGGTATATTAGTCTATTAAAATGTGATGTCAGTATTATTTTCATTTTTGGAAATTTAGATGCACCTTGTATATCATATTTTCCACATGAATACAAAAATCATTTAAAAGATCGATAAACTTCAAAAAGACACAGTAGAAATCCTGCAACATGTAATAAAGAAAGAAGGCTTTAAGAATTTGCCATTAATAGGCATATTGAAGCCGCGGAGGGCAGTAGAAATGTGCATTAGCTTTTGTAAATGGATGGCAAAACAGGGATTGGAAGCGGATCAATTTTTCCTTAATGATAAAAAGCATAGGAAGTTGTAGACAGCCTAAAGAGACAGACACATAAATTTGTTTTCTAGCATTTTATGTAGTCTGACAATGATCAGATCCCAAGGTTAAAGTGACTTATTAAAATATAAAGAGACTTTCTATTTATAATACACAGTTTTAACCTGTATTTGATTTGATTTCTTGTGAGGTTTATTCTTATTCAGACAGATGTTCGGAATCCTTGAAAAACAAAAGAAAATTATTGCTTTTTGCAACATTTGAAATATTAGCAAGAAATATGCAGGTTTATGTTATTAAACATAAGTCTATTAAATGAAAGAAATGTCTTCATATTTAACAGACACTAGTTTGTAACATGAGGAAACAATTTATAGCCTTAAAATTTGCAAACCTTTTTTATGCAAATTAAAACAAATGATTAGCATTTATTTGCTACATTCTTTAGATAATTAATGAGTCAGTCAGTTATGTGCCATGAGTAATATATGTGTAGGCAATCATGCATCTTTTGATACATGACTGACGAGGCAGATTTTTTCCCACAATAGGTTGCCATTTCTTTCTGCAATAGACCAGTCACCATCCAAGGCTACAGAACCCAGTCTGTTCTGCTATATACCCATAGCTGGAGGGAGAAGAAGAGTATTCATACCTTTCCCAAATTGTAATGGATTCGACTGGAATTTGAACTCAGATCTCCGATTCCTCAATCCAAGCCCATATCCATATATTTATATATTTATCCATATCCATATATTTATATGAAAGATATAATTTTTATTTAATCATGTTACTCCGAGCAAGACAGTGAAGCTACTAAGATACAAGAGGTTACTGAAAGTGAAAGAAACTTAGAAAACATTATTGAACAGAAAGGAACATCTTTTGTCTCCTTGAACCCTGTTAAGAGGTTTCAAGGAGACAAACGATGATGATTTTTTTTTAATCATTTCATCCCAATAAATGCCACTAGGACATGAGCAGGAAAGAAACAGAGGGGCCAATAAAAGAATAGGATTCAAGATGACAACTGACATTGCATTTAAATTTTTGAAGAACGTAGTTGACAAGAAAATAGGAAGCTGAAGTGAGTTCCAAAAAGTTCCACAAGCAAGAAGTATGGGAGAAGGAAGTATTAGAATAGAACTTACAGTTAAAAACAGCAATTTCAACAGTGAAATTATGAGACCTAGCTGCCAATCTAGTACTGCACTTAAATTCATAAAGTCAAGATACCAATGAGGAAAGCTCATCATTACCATGAAAATATTTATAGAAAAGGCACAAGCAAGCTATGTTATAGTGGTGAGAAAGTAACTGAGATGTGTATGCCAGGTCAAGACTGATAACATTGCAGAGTTTTCTTTGGATTTTGTCAATCTTTATATAAAAAACAGAAGTACCAGACCATATATAGCAGCAATATTTTATGCACAGATAAATGGTAGACTCATAAATGTGCAAGAAAAATTGTCTAAAAAAACATAGTGAATCAACTTTCCTAGCAGAAAACCTAGCAAGTGATTCAATATAATCATTCTACTTTGTGTCATGAAAAAACACAGTGAGTTGCTCTCCTGGAGGTTAGCAATAGCCATGCTGATCAAAGGCAAAAAAGGTTAAGATGGGTAATATAGTGTAGTTTCATTTTGGAAGTGTTAAAATTAACAAGCCACTTTTTGTCCCAGTTCACTTTTGAACCGACTACTCGGTTGAACTCTCTTCCTACGGACGGGAGGAACCCGAGGGAGGCTCCGCCGAAGTGCGGAGTCTCCTTCGGGGAGGTAAACCGGCCCTGAACCCGTTTATACGGGTTCAATGGGCATATTTTTGGCCGAGCCCACGAGCTTGGAATGCCCACGTTAAAAATGCTTTGTGCCACATGACACCCTCGTGGAGGGGGGGGGGTAACTCAATATCGTAAGCAACAGATGAAATATTGTTTTTGAAATCACCTGCCAATTTGATTTTATTAAGACTTATTATTAAGACAGGAGCAAATAGCTGTCATCAGCATAGATACCAAATCAGGAACTGATGATATCAGAAAGGTGATTAATGAAAATAAGCAGCAAAGTCAAAGGATAGAGCCCTGTGGATGACTGCATTAGAGGAGTGACCATTCAAGACAACTTTCCTTATGCGGTTTGATAATAAAAGATTGAATCAAATCAAAGAAACAGTCAGAAACACCATAACATTTCAATTTGTGAAGAACGATGACATGCCAAACGTTGTCAAATGCCTTCAAAGTATCTAAAGTAACAACCCAAGCTTTGCCACGCTTACCTAAAGCTTGACGGACTCTTTCACTAATGACCATTAAAACATCATTGAGGAATGTAAGGAAGTGAAAGCCATATTGTCTGTTTAAAAGAAGGCCCTGCAATGAGAGATGCTTAGACAATTCAGAGTTGATTAGAGCCTCTGGTAAGAAGTGGAAAACTAATAGATCAATAGCTGAAAGGATTTGCCAGAGTTCTTAAAAGCAGGAAATACAAAAGAGGATTTCCAACAATCTGGAAAGCAACAAGCAGAAAGGCACCAGGAGCACATTTCTTAAGAACAATTGCTAGGATACTATCAAATCTACATGGTTTTGTGGGGATCCAGTTTAGAGATGATAGCAGTGTGGTTGTAGAAAAATAAAAAGTTCACTATTAACGGAAGAAAAAGATAGAAAAGTTGGCAAAACATTTTGGTTTGCGATAAAGAAATAAAAACAAAAGATAAGAAAAAAAATATAGGCCAAAAGGTCATCATTCTTAAATGTAGGTGAATAAAAAAGGATTGTCAAATGAGTCGCATCTGTGAACAAATCAAAATCAAGAGACAATTCTGAAATGAATTCCTTTGTCTTAGAAAAGTGTAAAAAACACAGCTAACCAGGCAAAGGAACCAGAGAGTCGAAACAATTTTTTTCCATTCTCCCATGACTTACATTATTGGACACCTAAAAATCCCACAGAAAGTTGAAAGGATTACTGCTATCAATGAAATGCATACATACATACATACACATTTACAAGGACTCTCTTCTTTCTTTCTCTTTGCTAAAGGACTTAGACGTTCAAAACGAGAACTTTCTGATATGAACTTATGAACTCTTTAAATATTGTATATTTTATTTTAAGAGATATAAAATTTTATCAATATATACAAAATATATCTTTGTCCTAATTATCTTTGCATTCATTTTTAATGGGCAAAAAATTGGTGTATCTTGGGATTAAGGATGTTATCCAAAGATAACCACCTGTAAACCCAAGTAAAACCCCACGGCAGAAGCCATGTATGGAATTATACACACATCATACAGTAGAGACTCAGTTCTAAGTGGAAAGTCAGGTAAAGATACTCCAGATGAGTTCAGATTAGTGATGGAAGAGAATTTATGTACAAATCATTTTGCTTTATCAGCAGATGATAATACTTTAGATTAATTGAAGAGAAGAGGGATTAGGGATTTATTCTTATTTAACATACTCTTACAGAGCAGCTATTAGTCACAAGAACCAAACCCATCAGAGGCTCTAAAGACTGAGAAATATAATCATTTCACTTCATGTCAGCAGAAAATGTGGAACCAATGAGTTGCTCTCCTCAAATTTAGCATCAGCCATGCTGATAGAAGGCAAAATTAATTAAAATTTACAAGCCATTTCTTGTCCCAGTTAACAACTGACTGGAGATAATTTTTTTTACATCAGCTACCAGTTTTACTTTATTAGACCTACTATTAACACAATACATGTAGCTGAAGACCGCTTGTGAATCTAAATTCCCACTGAAACTTTTACTATGAATTTGCAAATCTGAATGAATACGACATTTGCTACACTTGGTCAGCTTTCATTTGGATTCAGCATGTTTGTTTGATGGAGCCAGATCAACCAACTGGGTGAATGTCACAATAAGTACTGGAGTAAATAGTTGTAATCAGTATAAATATAGAGTTGGAAAACCGATGTCATCAGGAAGGTCATCGAAGAAGAAATAATGTAGGTCCAAGGACAGATCTTTGGGGGACCTCCACATTAATATGAAAGGATCTAGAAAAGTCATTACTCAACATGACTCTTTTATTACACAATTTTTATGAACAATTGGATCAATTTAAAAATTTGACTGGACTTTTCAGTGTGTGAAGAAGGCCAGCATGCCAAACCCTGTCAAATGCCTTTTGAGATATCTAAAGCCACAGCCTCAGCCTCACCCTCACTTTTCTTATCTAAAGCTTGATAGACTAAAATTTAACAAGCTTGATTACTTCAATTAAGAAAACGTCATTTTTGATGTTAGAATTTCTTGCTTTGCAATCATGACAGTAGAAATATTAAAGTTATTGAAATGTTTTATTGCTTCCTATTAAAAGTTGCATCAAAATGATTGACAAACGTTCGGATTGTGTGCAATTAATGACACTGCACCTTCTGCTGAGGAGGAAGTGTACCAACAAAAATTAGAAAAAAATTTCATGTTAGCATTTCATAAAAATAAAAATTTCATGTTAGCGTTTCATAAAAATAAAAACAGTAAAAAAGATCTTTGTTTCTTCAGTAATATGACTGATAAGGGATGATGTTTCGAAGGCTGGATGTCTTGATGTGATGGTACACAGCACAGAACAGTTTTGGGAACTTATGAAAGAAGTAAGACGATGGTTCTGGAAGTAGATGACGTCTTTCTTTACAGCTGAAGAGAAAATAATTGCCAATGAACTAAATTAAAACAGCAAAAAAATGCTCAGTTATGCATCAGCATGAGACATCAACATGAAAAAGAAGCATAATTATTATTATTAACTAACAGCATTCATAAAAATTTCACAGTTTATTTGAATTTTCTAGTGAATTACAATTCATAATCTAATGATTGAATAAACTCCTTGCAAGTTTCATGGCTATAAAATAACCATTGAAATCGCCCTATTGCATTGTTAAATATTTGAGCTTAACAACTTTAACAAAATACTGCAAAAACATTCATGAGTATGAATGCAGGTCATTATTTAAAGAAGTAAGAGGATACAAATGAAAAGATTGATAAGGTTTTCCATTTCATTAAAGCAGATATGATTTGCATGAGAGTTTTATCACCTCCTCTATCTTTTGTATTATTATGTATGCTTTTTTTTGCACTAGAACCAAACAGCATCTCTGATATATCTTTTTTTTTCTGTCTTTCCTCATAATTAAAACCTAATAGTCCATTATTTATATGAGGTAATGGCAGGATGTAATGTACATGCTAACTAACAGAGGAACAGGCAGAATTAGAATGTGATTAATGTGGAATTCTATAAAATACATTGATACTTTAGGAATTGAATACAAATTTGTGTTTTAATAATACAAGAGAAGGTATAATTTAAAAATTTGGTACATCCATTTGGAAATTTATACCAGCTTTAAAAATGATTTTGTCCCTCATTATTATATCACAAATGAAACGATGAATTAATCTGTGGTGATAATTTTATAATTTCTACAATTTTAAACTTGGCGTGTGTCAAAATTTTATTTTTTTCAAATGTTTTATCCTTTCATGATGTAGATGATCATAATTTCCACAGATTTCTTTTTTTTTATTATCTGCAAATTGCTATGAGTTTACACTACAGTGTAAACCAGATATAAGAGAGTTGTCGGGACCGGAGAAGAAGTCTCTTATATCCGGGTTTCTCTTATATCCGGGTTTAGTCTATTTTATATACATTAACACAGGCTCTAATTTGGGACCAGAGAAAATCTCTCTTATATCTGGGTTTCTTTTATATCTGGGTCTCTTAAATCCAAGTTACACTGTATTTATATTGTGCAAACTATTACACTCATCTTTATTGTCATATTCATGACATTTCAATCGTATGCTCCTGCCTTCTTCAGGTGATATATGTTGTAATTTCAAACTGAGCCCTTTATTTCATCTACCGGAGTAGATTGTTCTAGTTCCATGTGCCACGCCTTTTCTGGATATCTCTGTTTCAGTTATTTCCCTTTAGTAACTTAACTTCCAAGTTTTTGTTCACCTCTGCTGTGGCCAGGAATTGAACTGGATTACATCAACCAACTCTTTTATCCACTGGGCCTAGTGGATAATGATGGTTGAAGTAATCAAGTCACCTGACCGAAAGAGTTGTGAGTTCAATAAAGATGAGGACAACAGTCCAAACAATGTAAATAGTTACAATACCTCATCTCAGAAATATAGACAGATATTGCTATGAGCTTTTGGGAAAAATAATGGAGTAGTTTCCATTGCCTTTTCCCTAGTTTGGAATTCAGTTTCTTCCTCCTGTTAGACTGGTTGCCACTTATTTTGTAACTAATCAAAAGCTTGTTGCCACTTAAGTCTAGGGAGACCAGTATACCTGCTATTTCGTTCCTAGCTAGAAGATGAGATAGATTCCTCCTTTTCCAAGAGTATGTGTCTGAAAGGCCAGAATTTAAAATTGGCATGATGGTTACTTTTTCTGTGCTGATATCCATTACCTACCAACACACCCACAAATTTTATACTACAATGATAAATGTACATGCATTTATTTGATAAAATAATAATTCTTTTGGTATGTAACAAATATTTTATTTGACCTGCTGTCTGTATATGTACATGTATGCAAGACAAATGCACAAAAATAAATATACCAGAATTATTTCTCCATCTCTAATTCTCTGATGAAGCTTTAATAAAAGTGAAACATTAGATTTACAAAAGTTCCTATTTGTTCTTTATCCTAAGTTTATATAAACATATGTCCACAAATCCTTCATTTTTGAGTTAGTAAGTTTACAGTGGATGGCAATGTGTTGTCATGTAGACTAGGTTATATTTGTCATTTGTGTACATTTATGGATATTCTGTATTCAACATTTAATGTGTGTAGTAGCAAGTTAACTGAGAAGTGTTCCATTTAACAATGGCAGATATGATTTTTAAATATGTCCATGTGAATGGTAATGGACACGAGGCTGCATAGTCATATCAGATTGCATTTCCGTACCCATAGCAGCTGAGTCATCCAACCTTTGCTGCTGTTCATTACTGAGTTGCTAAGACAGGATCTGTGGTACCACAAACTATGGATTGTGGAAGACAAAGATCCACTTGAATGTCTGACCATAAAGAACATGTTCTACAGGCTATCAGAGATGAACCAGGTATCAGTACATATCAAGTGGCCTTAGCATGTTGTATATCCTATAGTACCACATGGTGGGTACTTCAAGAGCAGCTCCTGTATCTGTATCATTTGCAAATTGGTGATCCATTGTTTGTCACTTCAGTCTTGTTTACAAATGAGGTAATATTTGGAAGAGATGGAATAACAAATTTACACAAACAACATTTGTGGGTGGATCAGAATCCCCATGGTACAATAAAGGCTAGACACCAGCATCAGTTTCCAATTAATGTGTGGCCAGAAATTGTAGGTAGCTGTCTGGTAGATCCATATGTACTCCCAGGACATCTTACAGGAGCTTTATTTCGAACACACTTCCAGACCTGCAAGAGGATGTACTCCTGCTAATACGAAGATGTATATGATTCATGCATGATCGGGCTCCAGCACATTTTAGTTACATTATTCACAATGCACTAGTTGATTTGTACCATGAAAGATGAATAGGTAGGGGAGGACCGTTTCCATGGCCTGCAAATTCTCCCAACCTCAATCCTTTGTATTTTTATCTGTGTGGCCATCTAACACAGTTGCTTTATACAGCAGACACTAATAATGCAGAGAGATTTCATCAATGTGTCATGGGGGTCTGCGAAACCAATCACCCGCATATGAGTATGAGTTGCTGTGTTGAGGTACAATGAAGGCCTTCTGGACATATGTTTATATGGACATTTTACCTTGTTTTGGTATCAGGAATCCTTTCACCAAAGTTTGTAAAAGTAATTTTGGATTGTATCTTGGATTGTACATTTAACATCATCTATTGTAAACTTAATAACTTAATTATATGCGCTTTTTATCTTTGATTTGTTATGAGGAACCTGCCCCCCAAAGTTTGCAAAAGTATTTTTGATACACCCTATATATAGGAATTGAATTCTAGATATATTTTTCAACCAATAAAAAAGGTTTATTTGATAAACAATAATTACAAAGGCAAATACAACCAAAATACTTGTGGACGTAGTTGTAGACGCATTATTTTTGGACCATTTTGAAACTAACAATAACTCCCTTCACCACTCCTGGAAATTCCAGAAAAAGATTTTTGCGAGCCAGTGTGAAATTATTTTGTAACTAATCAAAAGCTTGTATTCAAATAGTTCACACCTCTGTATGAAATTAGATTTTGGATCTCCCTTACAGATAGAAAAATAGAAGTATACTTCTCAGGGCACAAATGTTTTGGAGGCCAGTTTGATGCATAGACACACACGCGCACAGTGAAAGAGATGACAGCCAGCAGCTGATGACTAAGGCCTTTCCCATGTACACAATAGAAGGGATTAACCAGCAACAGCCAACTAAGCCTTTTGCCGAGAAACTCACAAACACATTAGGTTGACTGTCATAAAGTAAGTCTGTCCACACATTTCACATCACACTATAAGCACTTACTTACTTTATAAACAAACTTTTACTGCATATAGAACACCTACCAACTGACCTTGAGGGCTTTTGTCAGAGCAGACTCACCTTGCAATACAGCTGAGTACTGATCTGTTTGTCCAATTAAATCCTACACAAAGTCACAAAAAATTCCTCACTTTAAAAGATTCAACAGCTGGTAGGTGTTCTATATATGGTTGGTAGTTCCTTTATGATTTTTTTAAACGCATTTTGTTTTTAATTACCTTCTCAACTTTTCAATCCATCTTTCTGTGAATTTCAACAGTTACCATCCAGTTAGTAGACTTTTTCCTCTTCCTTCTTTCTTTCTTTCCCTTTTTGTTTCATCCGCCCCAGAGATCCCAGCATCACAAACTAATCCTACCAAAATTCATGCACTCAAATCCCACATGCTTTTAGTTTAACTCTGTACTTTGAACCCCTCCACCTTCACTTTGATATTTTACTTACTATTTGTTTTGTTTTTTTTTAAATAGAAGTAGATAGGTTTGCCTATTGCTTTGTTCACACTGCCCCCTTGACTATTTGAACAGAAGTAGAGCTTATAATGATTACTTACAATGATTTGTGACTTTATGCTATTGTTTGATTGCATCCAAACATTTGCATCATCCATCAGCCTGATATTAACAAGAGTCTTTTGAACAGGAGTAGAGGATTATCCCTTGTTTCCTGTTTAGGATGGGGTTTCCAGTTCCTTCTAAAGTCTTTTCATTCTTTTTCTCTTCCAGTAACCCCTTGCATCTTAGTGCCATTATCGCATTGATGGGGATTGATTGATTAAAAAAAAAAGTCATATCTTTGATAAATCAATCAGGGTGAGATTTGAACCCAAGATTTGTGGTTGGAATGCTAACATTCTAACCATTAGAACAGACACACACACACACACACACACACACACACACACACACACTCACTCTATAGGACAAAAGTTTGGGGCCACCCACTAGATTTCAAAGAATTGTTTAAAAATGGAATGTGAGAAGTAACATAAGCAAACAAGCACTTATGATAGTTAACAACTTCAGCTACAAGATATTTCATGAAGATCAATAAAAATTGTCAACTTACGTTTGATTCCATCGGTTCCAGGTATTGTAAATAAACAGGATGAGACCTGTAAGTGTATTTTGGTACTGGAAGAATATCTTCAATTCCTCAATAAAGGAATTGTCAATCAGGGTTTTCTGAAAAGTCAATTTAATTTAGTTTTTACTTTTTGCTATAGGAAATAATATAACTTTTTTTATTATTATATTAAAGGCCATGGCAGAAAAATGGTTCTTGACAAAAGGAAGCTGAACTAATTTGATAGCAACTTTGATATGTAGAAAGGAATCTAATGAAGAACAATATTATTACTGGGATCCCAGCTTAATTAGTGAATAAAATTCAATGATAATTCCTCGATTTTCATGAAAAATTCTAGTGGAATTCCTTAATCTCAGAATATTTATTAGCAGACAGATAGTAGTAAGTATATAGCTGTAGCAGAGTGAAAAGACAAATGGACAAAGAAACAAATTTTTATTCAAATTTTATGAATCTGAGAAAACATAAAAAACCGAATATAAATAGCTACAAATGACTATAATTGAAAGAAAAGAGGAAAAGGATAAAATAAGTGAAAAAGCCAAGGAGGGGGTGTAAAGTGGGGGAAAAATGAAGGAAGGAACTAATAATCATGACAATCTACATGTACACACATCCATGCAGACAGGTGCACATGCATGAATGCACACCTGCACTGATGAGTGCATGCCTGTACACACAAAACACACACAAAAATACAATATGGAAAAAACTTGCACCAATGTAAGTGCATAAAAAGAAAAATTGAGAAATATAAGCAGTTAATTGCTGATACCCCTGATGAGTGGAAGGATGTGTCCATTTACAAAACTCTGGAGTCAGGATGCTGAAGGTAACATCAATTAGCTGAGTGATAAACTTTTACTTATATTAATTCTCTCCCCTCCTCTCTCTCTCTCTCACTCATATATATATATATATATATATATATATATATATATATATATAACTGCAAGTTAGGCAATAATGCCACTAAGACACAAAGGGGTGTGAAGAAAAAGGGAAGCTTTTAGGAGAAGGAACCAGGCACACCATTCTAAACAGGAAAAAACCTCTACTTGTGTTCAAAAGACAGGGTGATAAGTGAACCTATCTACTCATATATCACATAAATAACATTTAGCATTTATTTTCAAACAATTTTCAAAAAAAGCATATAATAAACATGCCATTCAATATCAAATTGCATTGGAAAATTCTGATTTCCCTGGCATGGAACCAATATTCCCTCATAATTTTCTTTGACTATTTTTAAATTCCTTGATAATTCTCTAATTTTTCATAACCATTCCTTGAACATTTCCTGACCATTTTTTCAATTCCCAGTTTCCTCTGCTTTTCAAGTTGGCTATTAACCCTATTTAATTTAACTGATTTTATCAAACATAGAGCCAGAGTAATTTTCAAAATTAAAGCATTAGTTTGTGAATTTGGTGACATAGTAATTGTGAGTTCAATCCCTGGGCTGAGCAGTGTGTACTTCGACTCAATGGAAACAGGGCATGCAATAACTGAGCAGTACTAAATATAAGAACTAGAGAGGATATCAGTCCGAAATTCCCTGTGGATTACCTATATTGATATACACCTGATGAAGGTTGGAGGCCACAACAGCCGATATGTGATAACAGCAGCAAAGATAAGGACAATAAATAGTGTAAATACACTTTAATCATTCTTGATAATGAGAACAAAGAATATAGGAAGACAACCAATGAAATTTTCTTTTTGGCAAAAGCATTTTTCCCTGGCATGAACCATGAAAGCAAATTTCAGGATTTTGGTCTATCCATTCAGAATTGTAAAAAAAAAATGTTGTTTTTATTTAAATTATACTAATTAAATTAAATTATACTAATCCTAGAAAATCAAAATATTTTGCATCAATAACAATTAGCATTTATTTTCAAACAATTTTCAATTTAAAAATAAAAATACATAATAAACTGTAGTTCAAATTAAGTAATCATCGTTGTTCTTATAACCTTTGCTATTTTGACTTATTAGTCTTCTTTTTGCTTCTCTTCCACTCTCCACTTGACTTTCTCAGAAATCGACAAAACTCGCAAAAATCCTGAATGGTGTCAAAGGTTCTCCAGGCAACAGACAAAAAAATAGAGGAAAAGCCTTGTTTTTTATAGAGTTTCACTGGATGATCATATTCCACTCAACAGGTGTGACATCTCCATTAAAATCTAAAGTTTTTACCTGTTTCTAGAGAGGTTGTCAACTCAGTCCCTGCACCGAGTACATTTTATTTTTATTTTTCTCTTCAACCACATATGAGAGAATGTCAGAAATTATGAGCACTCTTGTCTAAAGATATGTTATGGTGAAAATGTGGATAATTTTTTACTTATCCTCGTAAATATATCATTTAATATCAAGTAGCATTAAAAAATTCCAATTTCCCCGAAACTATAATTACCTTATTTTTCTTTTAAAAAAGTGACTATTTTTTCAATTCCTTGATTTTCATGTTTTCCAAGTTTATGAGCTCCATAGTGTCAATGATGTGTAAGATTAGCACACAACTGCAGATAAGTTATTTACAATTGAAAAATAATGCAGCAAAAAGCTTTAAGAAAATGACACTGTAAACAATTTTTTCAAATTACAAATCTCTCTTTGATCACCAAACCTAATACTATCAATATTTTTTTTTTAAATTTAACAAATTTTCAATTTAGTCTTGTTTTTTTATTTTGTAAAAAGTTAGTATTTAATAATTTTCTAGCGATACCATAAAGATTACAGCTTGCCTTTCAGTGAAATATCTGGCTCCGGGTCAAGAAGTCAGTTTTCAAGCCCAAGTAAAAGCCTGACATTTGAATGCTGATTTTCTAGATAAGAAGGCCTATCCAACATCCTACTCTAAATTCTCTGTCATCACCACTACCACCATTTAGATTTGTACCACAATGCATTTTAGTAAATATAGATATGTTATAAAGGTTAATGCTATCAAAAGTTTTAAAATATTTTTATTTTAATTTTCCATTCTTGCAAATATTTTCAGCTATCTCTTGTTCTTTTTAATCTCAACATTTCTTTTCTTCTTTGGACAAAAAATAATTGCAGGGAGCCATATCTGAACTGTAGGGGTCAGGGAACAGATGAAGATGATTCAATATTTTGCCAAAATATTTTCATGAGACACTGCTTGATCATTATGTCAGTATAAGTCCTTGGACGATCATATTCCACTCAACATTTCTTGTATTCATTGCTAACTGAGTAACCTTATAGGAGAGTGCAGTTTACATAAAATTTAATTGTTATAATTTGATTGCTCAGAGAGATGTGGAATTATTTTGCTTTTTTTAACATTTGTATAAGATATGCAGATAACACAATGCAATCATAGAAAGAATACTACAGGAACTTCGACAGAAAGTAATGAAAGAAAATGAGAAAAAAAATTAAACATCAATTGCAAAAAGAGAGAATGTATGGTTGTCAGCAAAAGGAACAACCCAACAGGCAAATTACAAATTGGCAAGACCAAAATCAAGCAAGTATAAAAATTTAAATACCTGGGAAGTGTTTTAACAGAGGATGGAAAATGTGACACTGAAATCTGAAGGCACATTTGGATAGCAAAAGATGCCTTCAAAAAGCTAAGCAAAGTATTAAGAAACAGGAAAATTTAGTTGGAAACAAAGAAAAGAGTACTGAATTTTTATAATATTGTTGTAATATCATTCCTCATATAGGGAGTGAATACTAGACTGTGTCCTCACAGATGAAGGAGAGATGTGAAGCAACAGAAATGTGGTTCTACACAAGAATTTTGAGAATACCATGAACAGAACATGAGCAATAACAAAGCTTTAGCAAAAATGGAAATAAAAAATAGAAACATCAGAAAGAGAGAGTTGACATTTCTATGACACTTAATGAGGAAAGAGGCCATAGAAAATTTGATACTCACATGGTATAGTTAAGGCAAGAGGGACAGAGGAAAACAGTGCATAACCCTACCCTAACAAACTTGTGTAAATGCATAGGAGAACAGGGTTTAGGAGAGATAACAAAAAACAAGATTTAATAAAAGTTACAAAGGACAGAAAATCGTGGAGAGCCATGATCACCAATACCTTGAAGGGATACAGCACGCTGGTCAGCTTGGCATAATATGTCAAACAAAGATAAAGTTGGCTACCATTTGGGAATAACACACTGAGAAGAATTGGTTTGAAGGACATTCTTCAGGCAAAATTATATTTGAAGACTGACAGATACAAAATTAAACAAACAAAAAAGAAATCAAAATAAAGTAAAATAAAGTAAAATAATCACCCATTCTTGAAATTGGTTGTCAGAATCCAGGATCTTTATCAGTTCAAGTAAATTCTTTTGTGCCTCTTCAGAAAGTCCAAAGCTTAAATCAAAAACATGCAACTCTCTTAACAAAAGAATGATTTCTATTACTTGCATTCAATGCTGAAAGTTTGTCTAAAGAAATTTATATATACACACATATATATATTTATATATATATATATATATATATATATATATATATATATATATATATATATATATATATATATATATATATATATATATATACATACACACACACACACACTGTATACTCATGTAACAATCAATCTCACATAAATTATGCGACCCCCAAATTTTCACTTATAAAAGATGATTTTATCGTGTATCTTGGGTATCATGTGGGTTTCTTTTTTGAGAGACTAAATTACAATAGACTAACCTCTTCTGTTTATCCCATCTTCTAGTTAAATAAGTTAAAAAACTAAAAGAGAATGATAAAAGTATCATTAGTATTGTTGGGTAAATGCGTACAGCCATGAACAAATGAACAAGAAACAACTGAACATCTTGTAAACGTAAATAACAGAAAAGATGTATATTCACTATGTATTTTATAATATGATACTAATATGTGAATATTACATGCATTATTATTGGATACAGTTAAATAAAATATTATTATTATCAAAATCATGTTTATTTTAAATACAGCTGTACTGTTTGACTATAATAAATGGATATATAATTTGGTCAACAGCATAGCCAGGGCCAGAAGAATATACGCTAATTTTATATCTCATATATGATACAACCCCCTTAAAATTAACTTCAAAATTAGGTCTTCAAAATCACATGATATGTGAGTATATGTGGTATATTAGGCAATCAGAATTTTTTTTTGGTTGCGTGACAGTTGCTGAAGCATGAAACTTAAGTAGTGATATGAACTTTATCTCTTTTGAGGTGTGACGCTGTGAAGTGTTTTTGTTCATTTAACCAAGGCAGAGGTTATTGTTGGTTACTGTTTTGGTCGGTGCCTGTCTTTTGATATTCTTTCTTTTTTAGTTTATTTATTTTGCCATTCTTGTATAGATTGTCTTGGTTTTTGTTATCAAATTTAATTTTCTTTTTTTTTTTTTTTTTCAAGCTTTCTGGGGGCTGCATCAATACCTTTGATTTTTCTATATACAGGAATCCATTGATTAGTGTGGCTAATGTGTACATTGATAACTATAAAAAGATACTTTTCAATTACTATGGTTAAACTAAAAAATGTTTTACCACACTAATTGAGTATTATATATGCACTAAGCAAATTTTGGTATATAAAATTTTTAGCACACTAATTGAAAACACATTAATCGAAGGATGCCTGTGTGTGTGTGTGTGTGTGTGTGCATGTATATATATTACTTCAGTTGTTATTATAGAGGAAAGTTTGTATTTAAAATATATGCACCATATGCTTCATGTGCATTCAAGAAAATAAAAATACAGTTTAAAAAAACAAACAGCATGTCTACTCAAATATGGGTATCTACTAAAAATAATGTTTAAAGCAATTATGCCAGATTAACAAATAAAATCCATGAATTCTTATATATATATATAGATATATATAGAGAGAGAGATAGATAGATAGATAGATAGATATTTTATAAGTAAAGTCAATAACAAATTGTAAAAAAAAATTTATGTGATGCATTTTGTATTTTTCAAACATTGTTCTGATATATAAAAATTTATATATCATCTATACATATATATGTGCTGTGTCCACAGTTTCAGCAATCTGACCATGAATATAACATTTATCATTTTAGTGTCTTGTTCTCCTGCTTTTTCTAGTCTGATTATGCTCTGGGATCTATCCATCAGAAATTTCCAGTAGGTTACCTGGATCAACATCCTGGCAATTGTGTGTTTTCCTCATAGTAAAGTAAGAAATGTTATAATAACAAATATGAGGAGAATAGTCTGCATGTAAATAATGTCAATTTGAATTAGAATCTTTAAAATTATATCAGTGATGTCTTTTAACCAATATACCAAATTTAAATTAAGTTTTCATTCTTTTTTTTCTCTCTTAATTTCAATGATTCTTGACCAAATCAAATGGAATAATGAAAAAGAAAGTAAAATATTCTTACACTGAAGATGACATCAATGCAAGGTGGGAACCAGCATTGAGCAACAATTCAAAGCGTCTGCCAGTTGACCAAAAATAGGGGTGCCTGAAAGAGAAAGTTCCAGTGATTCATGTTAACACTTTCCAAATATACTTTCCTGGTTATGATATATATATATATATATATATATATATATATATATATATCTTATTCAACCTCAGGTGAGATCATAGTCAAAAATCCTGCAACACAAATATTGATGAACTCCATGATCTTTTCAATGATATATCATATGCCTTTCACCAGAATTCATTACAGTTTTGAATTCTACATTTTCTACACATAGTTGTGATACAGAATTCCATTTAAAGAAGTACTTTTTATGACCACTTAGAAGCTTTCATGCACATATCAAAAAAAGACTTCTGGTGTTCAACTTTGGATTACAAATATATCCTTACAAGTGATAATAACCACAGGGGCTTTTGATCAATTTCACTTTCAGCATGGAGAGTTATGTCACTTGGACATCTGACATCAAACTTTGAACTTATGGTCAGAAGCCAAGATAAGATATTATGCTATTGTCAGCTTCACTAGCACAAGCATATGTGACACTGTAACTTCCTTTATCAGACATAAACCTGTAGACATGTTTGTTTCATACAAAAGTATACGCATACACTTATGACAGACAAACTTTTTATCTCTCTCTCACTATATATATATATATATATATATATATATATATATACACACACATTCAATCTTTGGCAAAAAAATGACATTCGTCAAAAGAATAGCTAAATTAGAAGAGTGGCCAATATGATTTTTATAAAACAAAAATGTAGGTTAAGTTAAGATATAAAATATCCAAAACACTAACCTTCTTGCAACCATTGTTTCTGCCAAGATGGCTTTATCAGGCAGTTAATGATTGCCTGACAAATCCATCTTGACAGAAACCATGGTTGCAAGAAGGTCTACACATATATATATATATATATATATATATATATATAAATGCAAAATGAATGTCTCAGTTTTTACTCAAACAAATTTGGTGACATGATTCAACCTCATTTTTATTTGACCCCAGTTGTGATCATAGAATGACCATAATGCTGTGCTGCATTTAATTGGGAACTCCAAACTCTTTTCAATGACTGTGTGTAGTATATGTCTTGCTCCGACAACTAGTGAATTACCTCTCTATGAAATTTTAAATTAAGATTAACATATGCTAGAGAGAAGAAGGAAAATGGATGAGAACAAAAGTTTGTTGTTGCTTTCCTAACAGTGTGCTGTGAATGGAGTTATAATTCTCCTCATTTTAGAAGGGAGAATTTGTTCAGCCCTAGGGATTTCAACCCTGTGATAGCATCTTCCTCATTGCACTAAAGAGGTTAGCTCAGTGTAATACCAATGCCAGCATGACAGTGGTTGCAGGGGCTGGGCAAAAATCAATTTTTGTTTTTGGTCCATATGCATAACTAGCAGTAGAGCCCGGCGTTGCCCGGGGGTGTAACAGTAAGAGATAGATCAAATATCGGCCATCATAAAGACTGAAAAATAAAATTGACAAAGATTATTGTTTAAGGTTGACGGACATGCATGTCTTAATTAGTTTATTTTTTATTTTTGTTTGTTTTTTGGGGTTTTTTTTACGAATTGGTCAAACCCAAACTCAAACAAAAGCATTGTTTTCAATCGTTATGAGTCTACCGATTGAATAGAATTTTATTATAAATAATTGTCTTGTAAATGGAATTTTTAAAGCATTCTGAATGTAAAAATAAAGAAAAAGGTGTTCAAGACAATAAGAAACACTACCTGCCAAAAAAAAGTGAAGTTTTGTTGAAATCGGTTGAAAAATGTAGGAAACCTGATCCCATATATAAACGAACACAGACACACACACACAACCTGGGTTTTATAATAAGTATAACTCGATATGAATTGTCCCCCTTTCATTCTCGACAGTGATGACTCTTAATCATGTTTTCAAATTGATTTCATGCAAAAACAATTGTGTTTTTCGAATTTTTGGTGCTGTCAGAACCACCGCAAGGTAATTTTACGTAGTCCTGTGAAGTTTTGTTGAAATTGGTTGAAAAATGTAGGAAATCCGATCCAATATATAAACGAAACAGACACACACACACACAACCTGGGTTTTATAATAAGTATGATTATATGTGTGGGGCACCCCACCTTAAAACAATCTGGTGTCACATCCAGCCTTGGTGTGAAGACCAGGTAAATATAATTGCAATAGAGTGAGATTTAAGATTTAAATCTGGTTTAATGAGCACATAAACCAATTTGGAATTCAGAACTGTTTTTCTCCTAGACTGGTCGCTATTCATGGCTAGAGAGTCCAGTCTGCCCTGCTATTTTAACCCATAACTGGATGCAGAAGAGAAGCATTCATACCTTTCCCAGGGGGATTTATGGGAACATGAATGAAACCAACTTGTCTAGAATTTTAATTTAGCTTGCTGATCCCTCTTCACAAACCACTAATGCTTACACTACCCAAATATCTCTGTAGACATAGTTTTAATTCTGATAAATCATCTAAGAAAAGAAATTATGTTTTAAAAAAGTAATTAAATACATTTCACAACTAAAGCTCAAGAAAATTCTATATATATTAGTTTTGCCTATCATCTGATTCACTCTCCTCGCCAGTTTTTTGAACAGTAGTAGATTATTCCTTATTTCCTGTTTAAGTTTGGATTTCAAGTTCCTTCTAAAGTCTACCTCAACTCTATACTTCTAACAGCTTAAATTCTGAAATATTATTTACTATTTTTTTTTCTCAATATGAGTACATAGGTTTAAGGAAGCTAACAGGTTGTGTGTTTGGATGTATTTTAGGTGAAGATGCATGTTCACATGCAAGCAATTAAAGAAGAAGCATACAAAAACCGTTTATGGACCATTTATTCTCTTTTTTTTATAGTGACTGTAGTGGAACAAAGTTCTCAGTGTCTCTTCAGTGTTCCCATTTTTCTTTTTGGTTCAGAAGTTAGGGTAGGTAAATATAAGTATCATATTCATAGTCAAGCTCAACTCAGACTTGAACAATGTTGGAACAACCAAAGCAAAGTTTCTTCATCACCAGGAGATTTAAACATGGTTATGAGATGTTCCATTTCTTTTCCTTGGTCCAGAAGTTAGAGTAAGTCAGTATAAGAATTGTTACTATGGTCACACTCAAGTCAGCTTTATGCTGAGTTGGAACAACCAAAGAGAAAGCTTGACCTAATTCATAGGTTGAGGTTTTTGGAAGACACATGTGAGTGCCATGCATTAGAAAATGAGAAGAGAGTTCAGTTGTCAGTGGACCAAGGAAACTAACATTCCCCAGTGGGAACACAATTACCACTTTGTACTACATTTTGGAGCAAAGAATAGAAAGAGAGTGAGGCAGGAAATGTTTGCCTTTTTTTATAAACATCAACAATGTTTTTCAGAACCAAGTGGGGATGATCATATTTCTGGTTCCTTTACTCTTAGCATCAAATGGGAAAATGTATTTCTTTTTTTATTACTCATTTTTATTACTTATTTTATTTATCGATTTCATTTCATTTTCCCACAGGTTTGTTGATCATCCAGTTAACACTCCTTCTCAATTTTTTGAACAGGAGTAGAGTTTTCCAGTTTAGGATTGGGTTTCCAGTTCCTTCTAAAGTCTTTTTCATTTTCTTTCACTGCCAGTATCCCCTTGTAAATTAGTGGCATTATCACTTTGCTTCTGGTGAATTGTTTAAAAAATTGTAACATATTGAATGTTAACTTCGGATTTTTGTTTTTATCTGATTGGCCCTCAAATTTGCAAATATCAAATGTGTCTTAGAGGTTCAAGGTACAAAATTTTAAATTCTCAGTTTTTTTTTTTCACTTATGAAAAAGACTGATTTTGATTTGATTGTTCAATATTTTTTCTGATAAAATTTGCAAGTTGAAAAGCCAATTCTCAATAAATACTTGAGTTTCATTGACTTTATAAGAAGACCAAATGCTTCAACAAATCTCAGAATGTATAATACTCACTTCATGATATCTTCCACATCAGGTCGATTAGTTGGTGCCCCGGACAACATTGCTGAGATGATGTCACTGGCTTCTTCACTCAAGTGATGCAGTTGCCAATCATTCAAAATGATATTTAAGATCACTTCATCATCCTGCCCAAATGGATGGTGTCCACCACTGATTATAAAATGAGCAACCATACCTGCCACCTTCACATAAAAATAAATACATATACACATAGATATTTAAGTATATTAATGTATTTTTTAATCCAATATTATTTTTATTAATATAACCATTATATTCAGTTTGGATGCATATTTGAGTACACATACCTGTTTGTTTTAAAACTATAATTAATGTCTACTGACTTAGCGATCGAAAGTCTTACTAAAGAAAAAAAATGTTCTTCCTGATGCTTATGTTTTCAGTATAAAAATAAAGTTAGCAGAGATAGACTTCAAAATGTCCCAATGAGAGATGTGTATTTTTGAAATAGACTTTGCTGAGATTGCTTCCTGTAGGTAATGGCGAAGAAAAAAAATGGTTTCCCTGATTGAAGTGGAAATAAATTTTTATTTCCTGTTGGAAGGCATATTTTCTTTAGTAACACTTTTAACCTCTAGGCTTTAATTTTATTGTTTAAAAAAAATTATCTTCTCAAACAAATGTACTGTCAAATAATACAGGGTGCAGCCAAAATACCTCGCTCATAATGGTAGAACATTAGTGGCAATTGTCTTTTCATCTAGCTAATGTCTTACCATAATGTGAGAGGTGTATGTGGGAGGTTTTTCTGCCACACCCTGTATATTAGTGGACATTGACATCAACACCCAGAGGCAACAGTCTGTTATCAGGCTATGTGCATTGCGTTTTTACTTGGTTATTAATACTGATCCATTGTAGGTAGTCTATTGTATTAAATTGTGAGTAGTCTATTATATCATTCTAATGGTTGTTTTGGTGGGCAGTAATGGTTGTGTTTTGAATTATTCTATTGAGTAGAAATAGTTCTGGATCCAAATGCAGTTTTTGGGTGATTTATAATGTTGTTAACTTTTTTATTTATTATTGATTTTATTGTTAGTTGTTATTACTACATTTTCTTGTGTTTTATTTGTGCATACAGGGTTTGTTAATTTGATTATTATTTACTTAGTTTATCTATTTATTTAGATTAATTTATTTTGCTTGTTTTGTTTGTTTATTTTATTTTATTTATTTTTCTATTCTTGTTTATTTACAGTCTTAGATTTTTAAGTAATGTAGTAAAAATTTGTTATTGTCCCTGCATTTTGAGATGAGTTCTGATCATTTATTTAGTAGTTTGTTTTGTTCTGGGAAGGTAATTATTGTTATTTTTCCTCCAGGCAGAGTTTACAGTTTTTGGATTGATTGTTGTAGGCTGATATTCTTTTTCTTATTTTCCATGATATTTTGGTCTGATTGGGTTTTTGTTTTTAATCTCCCAGATATTGTGTTGTTCACATATATACTATTTGTTTTGTATGCATAGTTTCTTTGTTTCTAGGGTGCTTCAGATACTCCTATGTATATTTTTTCTTCATTATCTGTTTACTTTTATGGTGGCTTGGTATATTACATTGTTCTGCAAGTAATTGCCATTTAAGAGACATTTATTTTTTTATTCTGCAGTTACATGTGTGGTTTTTTTTTTCAGGTGGTTTTTGATTGTTTTCCTGTTGTTATTCATGTCATGTTCTCAGTGAAACTGTAGGTGATTTTTAGTGTGTTTTTGTTGAATATTTTGTGGAGCATACTTGATGCAGGGAGGTGTTTGTGTATGAGTTTGTTGAATATTTTTCCAACATTTGTTTTTACATTTTTGTTTTACAGTGAATTGAATCAAATTTCTCTTCCTGTTGATATTTTGTGCTGTGTAGTATGTATGTGAGAATTGTCAGGAATCCACTAACATTTAAGGCTGTTTCATAGTCTTTCTTGGCTTTGTTGAAGATAGTTTCACTGGAAGAATTGTCAGAAAGCCTGCAGGTAATTAATCGTGGTATCTACTTGATTATAGATGACAGGTGGTTGGAAGTTGTATATGGTTTATATATATTTTTTAGGTTGAAGGTGACATCTACAAAATCTACTTTGTTTTGGTTCATTTTTTTGTATAGCCATAGGGAACAGCTGCACAAGGCTGCACCCTCCCATTGCACCTGAGGGAGGGATCGGTGCTCACACTGAGGCCAGCGCAACTGATGGTTGCAGGGGCTCAGGGAATTTTTGTTCCTTGCCCGGGTGCACGTGTTTGGGCTCCTCACATTAAACTGACCTTATTTCACAACCTGACCTCACGGGGGGGGGTTGAGTAAATATCTACTCTCCTGCCCAGAACTTACTCTTTTTGAGTAGTTACACATCTACTTATCATCTCTCAGTTGTGTCTCTGTCTTTGGACAGAGTGCGCTCAGGGGCTTCTCTGTCAAAGGACAGAGGGGCAACTGAGAAAATAATACTGAGAGGTGATCAGCCCTGGGGAACAGCTGCCCGAGGCCACACCCTCCCATTGCACCAGAGGGATTGGTGTTCACACCAAAGTCAGTGCAACCAACGGTTGCAGGGGCTGAGGGGAATTTTTGTTCCTGTCCCAGGTGTACGCACTTGAGTCCCCACCAAATAATAGACCTTGTGTCACATCTTGTTCTAGTGGATAACTAGGATCAAAGTGTAGTATCTGTTCTAACAGCTGGCACAGGGCTCTAGCCAACAGCAGCAGTACCAGCTTGCCAGCCATCATCTCCATCACGGCTCCAGCCATCTCCAGATATCTTTGTCAGCAGCAATGATATGCAATAAACTGTTCTTTTCAAGACAACACTCATATTTTTCTTGATGTATTTTCTTTAATGAAAAGACTCTGTTTTATTTGCTGTTGTCCTCTGTCATTCAATATTTGTTCATGGACCAATATTCCATCCACAATCCTTATCAAATGTTGCAACCTGAGAGTTGGTGTTTTTTGTATTGAAACCACTAACATTTGCTGAATCTGAAATTTAACCTACTTCTTTATTAGTATATCGCATTCTGTTATTGATAATTTTGTGATGATGAGTGATATTATATAGGTGACCATTATGTTGACCATAGAGAATTGTGAAATAAATTCATTATGAAGTCCCTATGGCTAAATATGATATATTTTTATCACTTTAAGTGTTATTTTTAGTGAATACCCATATTTGAATAGACACTCCATTTATTTTTTAAACAGTATTTTATTTTTTGTCTACAGGCAAGAAATTTTATTATTCAAGAAATTTTATTAAAGAAAAATGTACCCTTTGGCAGTATTTGAAATACACTGTAGACAAAAATAAAATACTATTTAAAGAATAAATGGTATGTCTACTCAAATATGGCTATCCACCATAAATAACATTTAAAGCCATAACAATATCTCTATATAATCATGTGCATACATTTAAGAAAACTCATAAATACTCATCAGGTTAGTTGAAAAATCAAGCAATTCATAGAGAGGATGTGAAGTAACACAATTCAAATCTCTAATAAATGAACGTAAATGATATTCTTGAAATTTTTTCATTTTTTTTAAGGCAAATTAGTAATTAAATTATTTTAGCTTGGGAATAAATTATGTTTTATATATTTTAAATAACTTGAGATTATGAATTTAAACATATTCTTTTCATTTTTTAACTAACTAACTAACACACACACACACACACACACACACACACACACACACACTTGCCAGATTGAAACCATTACTGCATTTGCTTCCTTTTTATAGAGAACCATAGATTGCTGGCGAACCAGAAGTTATCCATAATTGGATGATTAATTACCAAGAGGAGTCGCAGTGTATTATTAAAAATGAAGAAAATTGTAGCTGACAGATGACACACAAGTCAATACCCAATCAATATTGGCTGGATAACCTTGGAGAGGGATATAATGTCGAAAAACCTAAAACTTCGAATGAACCTTGGCTAAAAACATCACTGATGTATTTTACAAAAAATATATATATATGTATATATCCATGTAAAATGAGAACAAATGGAGTAATGATTCCACTGTATGTAACATTGAATTTAAAAGAGGGCTCAATACATAGTAGAGTTAAATATTATTTATTTTAGGATATTAAAACAAGTTATAAAAAATCACTACAAAATTACAATTATGTCTCAACACCATAAACGTGTCTCTTCAGGTGATATTAAACTATTAGATCTTTCACTTGCTAGTAATTTAACATTACCTGAAGAGACACATTTATGGTGTTGAAACATAATTGTAAGTCTGTAGTGATTTTTTATAAGATGTTTTAATATCCTAAAATAAATAATATATGTATTCGATGTATGAGGGTCAAGCAGCTCTGTTCCTAGGAACCGACAGCCAGACACCAGCACATATGATTTGATTAGAGTGGTGAAGGATTTGTGCAGAACTGTTGTAGTGTCTCCCCTCTAATGAGTCTATAAAGTAGTAGGAAATGTAAGCCTCAGGGAAAACAGTGATATAGACTGAACGCTGGTCAAGCAATACACACTCCCAAGTCATGTAACACAGTTCTGTTGTATTTACTGTTCGATACACTATTTATCTGCAACCTATTGTTTGTTATTTCTTAACAATGGTCACAGCAAGAACCAACCACACTTTTTGAAGGGCTGAATACAGAGACCTGGTGCACTATGTGCAACAAGGTCCCCAAACAACCCTCTGCAGGTTTTGAATTCAGAGTTGTCCTTCTCCTAGACCAGTTGCCATCCAAGGCTATTGAACTCGATCTGTCCTGCTATTTACCCATATCTGGGGGGAAAAGAAGAGGATTAATAGCTTTCCCATGGGTATCAGCACATGTGAATGTAGTGGACTCGAATAGAATTTGAACTCGGACCTCCAATTCCTCAATCCAAGATCATTATTTATATATATATATATATATATATATATATATATATATATATATAATGTAATGGTGAAAAGCTCTTGGAATGACCAGGAAACAAGACAACCTTGTTTGATTAGATTTTATTAAGTAGATCAGGCTGAAAAGAGCTTTTTAGCACCCACTCACCAGTGTCTGTTGTGTATTTTGAACTTTTGAGCACTTAAAATAATGAATCATTTAAACATAAAACATCTCAGTCTATTGTAACTTTATTGAAATATTTACTGCCATTAAATTTCAGAAAGAGAGAAGTACTTAAAAGCCAAAGCATTTATTCATGGAATATACAATACTAATAACCCTTCAGGACAGGTGATCATGACTTTCCACAACTTCCTTTGTAGCTTTTAGCCATGTTTATCTTTTACTATCTCTCCATGTTCTACTATAGATTTACACAAGCTCATTAGGTTAATTGGTATTTTCCTGTGCCTCTTTTGCTGTGTGTGTCAATTTCTCCAAGCTCACTTCCTCTTATATATCCTACAAATTTCAGTTGTATTTATTATACATAATTAAATTTATGAAACTATAAATGAAAAAAAAAATGAAGGCTTTAAACTAATGCAGACAACATTAGATTAAAACCAAGTTTATTTTTTCTATTGATTGATTTGTTTTACAGCTTATCAGCCTTTTGCAGGCTATTTAAAACCAGAAAATATTTTTTATATTGTAAGAACTTTTTTAAGATAATAATGATTTACTGATACAAGTCCTACTAATTAACCCTTAGCTATGGAGAAAGAGGTACATTCATACCTTTCCTAAAGATACTTACATATAAATGAGCATAACGAATCCCATAGGAATTGGAACTTAGCTCTCTGATTTCCAGTTTCAAGATGTTACCAGTACACCAGCTGCACATTCAAGCTTACAGCATTTGGCATTCCCAAGCAGTCTCCCATCTAGGTACTTTACTTTGGTGATCATATGAGAACTGGTGTTTCAATGTGATATAGCTATAATCCCATTATACCACCTTCACATCCAAGCTTCCAGGATCTTATATTTCCTAGTGCTCACCCACCAAGATAGTGGCCAGGTTCAACATTGCTTTACTTTGGGGATCATACAAGAACCACTGATATGACTATAAGCCATACCATGCATGCATCCAAGCTTACAGCACCTGAAATTGCCAAGTGGTCACCTCTGGTTACTGAGCAGCCTCAACTTTGCTTAACTTTGATGATTGTACAAGAATTGGTGCTTCAACATGATATGGCAATAAGCTATTTTTTCTATTGCCCCACATTTTTTCTTACCTGGATATCTGACTTTGAAGTGTACTTCTTGTGCTGTTCTGACCTGAGGATTTCAGATGGTTGCCAACATTTCTCATCTTCTGAAAGACAAAAACAAAATGAAAAATAAATCACTCACTAAACATTATTCTTGTGTACAAAATATCAATGTACCATCTGGAAAAAAACATCCTGATGGTAATTTATAAGATAAGCAAAGAATTCTTAATTCCTAGAATAAAATAATCATTATAAAAATAAATAATAATAATTTTTTTTTGGGTGGGGGAGAGAATCCATTTGGTGATGATGGAACATCACTAATTTGATTTTCATATGTAATATAATGTTTATATTAATAAAAAATAAAATCAGATTAAAGAATTAATTGTTTAATAATTAAATCTATCTATCTATCTATCTATCTATCTATCTATCTATCTATCTATCTATCTATCTCTCTCTCTCTCTCTATATATATATATATATATATATATATATATATATATATATATATATATATACAATAATATAGTTATTGATATTTATTTTTAATTTGATATATATATATATATATATATAAAAGATTACCATGGGATATAAGAAAGATATAACCTCAAAAGAGAAACAAGAGTTATTGAATTATGGGAAGACAATATTTCAAATTATGAAACAGTTAAACTAAGATAAGAGAATAATAAAACATATATTGAAAACATTGATAAGACAGAAAGACTGCCCTTAAGAATATCACAAAAAGAAGCAAAAAAAAGCAGACTGACCAGCAAGGAATATTTGAAGATGATAGTGTATAAACAGTAAACAGATGTGAAATATTAAAAACACTGACTAAAGACACGGAAACAACTAAACTGTCATCTATAAATAAACATCACAAAGAGAACTGTGCAAAATTAAATAAAGAAATATATGAAAACTGATTCTCAATAGTAACCTTTTGCAATGAATGTAAAACTATACTGGGTGTAGCTGAAGGTGAGGCTAGTGTATGTATCCTTCATGAAAATATTGAAATAAAATGACTCAGAAGACAACAGTGGGAAAGTGAAATTATGGTTGGTGCTAGTATAATATTACTATGGAAAGTAGATTCACTTCAAGTTTCTGCCAAGTTTGTTTGCATTCACTTTCACGTGAATGAGAATGGCATTAATTTATCTCTTCTCCCCTACTAAATTCTCCAGCCTTGAGTGACTGCCATTCTAAGAACAGGACTAGTCTGAATTCAAAATTGTGGAAAAGGTAATGAGAAACCTTTCCACTATCTTTCCCCAAAATTTATGACAATTCACAGATAATAAAAAAATATCAAAATCAAAATCTGTGTTGAGTCATGATAATCTACTATAGACAAAAAGTTTTCATATCCATTGTCAAGAAAATGTTGAAATCATATGGCGACATCTTAAGAACCAACAATTGTGACATCCTAAAAGGTGTCACCTTAAGCAAAAGAAGAAGAGACAGATGAAATAAATGGGCTGACAACATCACTGAATGAACTGGTAGATCTTTCATAGAGTCTCAGGCATTGACATACATCTGAGACATATGAAATGAGTTGGTCAGATGCCCAGCTACATAGAAACTCTACAACCACACCCAGTCATGGGACTGATGATGATGAACTATTAGACTACACTATGCCTACCTCCCAACATTACATAATATGCAAACTTTTATAATGCATTGGCCAAATGGTTCATTAGGTTTTCATTTAATTTTAAATTAACACAAAAAAAATCACTTCTGATTATATTGTGACAATTATTACATCAGCACACATTTTTTTTTAAATTTTTGTCCAAACTGAGCTATTTTAGTTTAGTAATTTTAACACTGAAGATGGAAGGAAGAAAAAGCAACATTTTGGGAATATGCTTTTTTTTATCTTAAGTAAAATAAAACTTAAAATTAAAAAAGAAAACAATATTCCAAAAATGTCACTTTTTTATTTTTTTATTTTAAGATAAAAATCCATGGCTATGGATAAAATAGCCAGGTAGGCTGGACTATCTAGCCTTGGATGGCACCTAGTCTAAGAAAAGAAAATCTCTGAATTTCAAATCATAGAGAAAGCAATAGGAAACCACTCCACTAGCTTACCTAAGAATTCATAATAATTCACAGATAATAAAAAAATAGAATCTGTGATGAAACATGATCACCTGTGTCCTGAAGGAAAATGGTATTAAAAAAAAGAAGGGTAAAAATGCTACTGAAATGCAAAAGAAAAGGTGTAATAATCCATGACCACCTGTGTCCTGAAGGAACATGGTATTTTAAAAGAATTGTAAGCAATAAATTGTAGATATCTTCAAAGTTGATGATGATGATGGTAAGAAAAATGCAGAGAATTATTCTAATTTTTAGGACAAGATGTTTGTTGAGTGGCGCAGGTCACAGCCAAAAAACTTTAAGCTAAAGAATATACTTATGCAAGACAATGCTTCATCCCCTAGAAAGCTGATTATTGCCCACTTTTACCAAAAAATTGTTTCAAAGATATCAAATTAATGGAAAACTTGTAGTCCATCATTAAGAGAAATTTATATAAGAATGGAAAACGATAATCAAGCAAAGATATCTGAAAAACAATAAAAACTATTGTAAATAATGTTAGTGAAAACAGTAACAAAGTTAATATAATCAATGGGGAAGAGACTGATGAAGGTTATAGAATGTCAAGCAGCTTATATTAAAATATAGAATAATAAAGTAATACTGTGTTAAGGTTAATGAGATATTGTGTTAATTGAATATATGGGCAATATATTTCACATGTATTTATCAAATTTTGTTTGCATAATAAATATCTATATAAACTTTGTTTGCATAGTAAAATGTTCCTATCAATATTTTTAAAAATTGATAGATAAAACTCACATGATATATGACACATATAAATATATCTTGTATTGATTGACTGGATTTTTGTGTGGCTTATTTAGAGCTGAAACATATTTTTTTGATTGTAAGAATTATTTAATTTTGCAAGTGAATATTGCATTAACAATTTTTCTAAAATAACAGTGATTATTCCAGATAGAAGTCTTACTATTTAATCCCATATCTGAGGAGAGAAGAGATGGATTCATAACTTTGCCAGGGATATTTGCCATCCAATTTCTTATTCTAATCCAAAGTATATCTTGCAAAACTTGGTCGGTTAATAATAATTTTATTCTTAAAACATTGTCTTGCATAATGAAAACAAATGATGTATCTCCTTCTGAATACTTCTGTATTAACCACATAGATCAAATTTTATACAATGGAAATCTTTGATTAAAATTCAACTGATAAACATATTAGGCTGTGGGATTATTTAACCACCCTTGTATATATTTGTAGGTATATATATATATATATATATATATATATATATATATATATATATATAGTAAGGAAAAAATGTGTTGGTATATAATCCAAGTGGATCCTAGTAATATAAGCAGATCAGTCCTAATATCTAAACAGGCTCTTTTTTATGGATGAGTTCTAATAGCTAAAATTGAATGAGATGAATGAACTAGTGTTCAAATGTCAACATAAAAACAAATTCAAATTTCCATAATCTAGTTTTGTCTTAATTAGCTACCCGAAATCACTCCCTGACCCCCATCCCCTCTAACTTATGTCAACATAGAAAACGAAAACTAATTCAAATTTCCATAGTGAAATTTGCCTTATTTAGTTATCCTGAGTCACTCCCCTCCCCCTTTAAAACCTTTTATACTATATTGATTATAATTTATAAACCTTTCTCTTAGAATATCTCCCTAACTCTCTTTCCATTAATCCTTTATGTCTCTATATTTATATATTTTTAAAGTTATTTTTGGGTTCATTTTTAATAGCTTCTTTATTTTTCAATTTAAATTAAAAATTTGTGTTTTTTCTAATGCCCCCAATTCTGTTTTTTTTTAAAAAATAAAACTTCTCCCCTTAAAGATAGATACTTACCACCCTCCGTGAAACCTGTCTCATGCTTATTGTCTGGCTGAAACTCTATATTAGGTGTTTTCGGCAAGTTAAAGTTTAAGTTGATCCTTTCACTTCCTTACAGTTAATATATTCACTACTTCCCCTAGCTTCCTCTAACTTTACAGACATGAATTTCATTCCACACCGGTATTGAAAAGACAGACGACCACTTTCATCATCTGTCAAAATATCCTATTCCCCATATGAGGTAAAAGTATATATTTGTTTATATATATATGTATATTAATTATATATATATATATATATTATATATATATATATATATATATATATATATATATCTATATATATATATATATATATATATATATATATATATATATATATATATATATTCATTTCTGTAGTTCACTGCTACCAGCTAGCAGAAATATTTCTACTCTGATGATGGCCATTTTGGTATATATATATATATATGTATATATACATATGTATATATATATATATATACAAACTATGTATATGATGTATATATATATATAAATCTAAATGAAATAATAATAATAAAAACAAAGAATATTAATCTACAACCAGTGTGTCTGAAGATTTTAATTTTTTAATATTTTTTATTGTTATATATATATATATATATATATATATATATATATATATATATATATATATATATATATATATATATATATATATATATATATATATATATATATATATATATATATATGTATATATATGTATATATATATATATATATATATGTATATATATATATATATATATATATATATATATATATGTATATATATATATATATATATATATATATATATATATATATATATATATATATATATATATATATATATATATATATATATATATATATATATATATATATATATATATATATATATATATATATATATATATATATATATATATATATATATATATATGTATATATATATATATGTATATATATATATATATATATATGGCCGTGTCTCAGGTATAAAGACAAACTAAAAGAGTAACCTCTCAGCTGTCAATGTGCCCTATACTAACTTTGAGCAGGTTGACCTGGATAGAAATAACTGGAGATATTTGTGTCAGAGTGGTATCAGGAATTTGGAAATCAGTCATATTGACCAGTTAAGAAATGAAATACAATGATGAAAATCATCAGCAGATATTTGTGTTGCTATGTCCCAAGATCCTTTCTGTTACAAAATATGTGGACTTGTATGCAGCTCACTAGTGGGACTAAAGTATCACATATATACAAACATAAAACTGAATGAAGTTGATGATATATAAATATATCTACAGTGTAATGTTGAAAAAGGTATGTATTAAATACAACATATTTTTTCAATATAATCACTTTGTTGATTCAGTGTTTAATATTAATCACAGATCAAAATTAAGCAAATAACTATATGGCATCATTAGGCTGTGAACTTATTGATATATCTATACATTAATTAAAAAAATATTTTAGGTTGAATTTTCTTACCTGATTTTTCATTGTCTTTTTGCCCATTGCTTGATGACCAAGTTTGATGCTTACACAAATGATGAAATCCATAATTGGCCAAGAGTAATCTCCCTTTGGAATCAATAAGAAGATTTTCAGGCTGTAAAAATAAGATTTGCCTTTAAAAATCTTTTAATTGTGCCACCTGGGTTGGAGGGCTGATGTTGCAATGGGGACTTTGAATGTTTATATCAGAAAAGGAGAGAAGAATGAAATCCAGTTAGAATTTATTCATTTAAACAGTTTTCCAAGCATTAAGAATTTGTAATTAAAAGCAAATCAAGTAATAATGGATCAAAACATACAGCATCACATTTTTCTTAATGTTAAATGTTGCATGAGGATGAGGAACTTTAGAACTGCAACCTTTTGATTAGAATTATATGAAATTATCTATTGTTTTTAGAATCAGTATACAATTATACACACATACATAATGTATATATAAACTTATGAATACTTATACATACATGTACATAAACATATCTATAAATATATGCAGTTATGCACCCAAACAATTCTGCACAAGAGAAAATATTAAAACAAATGACAAAAGTAACTTGAAGATGTAAATGATCACACTTTTATTAACAAACAAGAAAGTGTTGTTGGTATTTTTTTTTTATTTTGATGCTTATTCCCATTCAGAATATTATGACTGAAAATGAATCTCCACACACACACACACACACACACACACACACACACACACACACACACACACACACACATATATATATATTATAAATTAATTGATTTAAAATATGGTTATTTTCGCTACACAGTTCCAACCATGTTTCAAAAATAGAAGCTAAAAACCCCTAATTTTATTTTTGCAATTAAATTAAAAGCATTAGTTCCATTTCATCTTCAAGCGAATTTTGGAGTAACTTTTTAAAATTACCGGGTTTTAAAGACACAGCTAAAATCACGTTTCCATGGTTACAGAATATTCTACTCAAATTGAACAAGGGGTGTCTAGATTTTCCTTATGTCAGTATCATTGTATCAGTTATTAGCTACAATTTGGTAAGGGGTAGGGATGTATTTTACACTGAAACCTGACATCAGTTGAATGGATGTCGTCTGAATTTAAAAAAAAAAAAAAAAAATTGTTAACGGTAAAAAAATTCAACGTCATTTTTTAAATTTAAAGATTTTTTTTTTCTAATACTTTTATTTAACTACGATTTGAAATATTTTCCTTTTAATTTTTATTTTACTATATTCTTTTAAGAACAGTTAAATGTATTAGAATCCATTATATTATGTAGGATTATTTTAACATTAAGTTTAAGTATGTATATGAGGTTACATTTTTTTTTTTTTTTGTATATGACTATGACAGCAGAAATGGTTACTTAATTTCACTGATTCAGTAAACTTTTCTTTTAGTTTTATATATAAACCTAGTATTATAATATTTCACATGTAAGTACTGAGGACATGGGTCATTCAAAAGCTTACATCTTCTTATGGTATTTCATATTAATTTTATTTTACTATAGGTGTTATTTTTGGATTCTTTTTAATGCGTGTAGTATTATTTAAAAGAAATTTAGGTTAGAATTCATTCAATTTAACTACAATTTTAATTACAAATTCAAAATTACAACTTTAAAATTTTAAAATATTTTCATTGTTTAGTTTTAATAGACTATATTACTTTATAACAGAAGGAAAATTACTCATAGTAAGTAAAATTATTTTTCCATATCAAAGTATATGTAAATTATAATTTTTTTTTTTTTTTTTTTTTATAAACTTTTAAATTTAAATATTATTTAAGTAATATTAATGGCACTTACTACAAAACTAGCTAAGTCATTTCTCAGATTTAGTAAACTTTATTTATTTATTAATTAATTAATTTATTTATTTCAAATATATGTAACCTAATTAATAAAGTTTCATATGTATGTATAAATAACAGGTTAGAATTCATTTTATTTTACTACAATTTTAATTTCAATTTTAAAATTACAACTTTAAAATTTTAAAATATTTTCATTGTTAGTTTTAATTTAGACTATATTACTTTATAACAGAAGGATAATTACTCATAGTAAGTAAAAATTTTTTCCATATCAAAGTATATGTAAATTACAATTTTTAAACTTTTAATTTAGATATTATTTAAGTAATATTAATGGCCCAGACTACAAAACTATCTAAGTCATTTCTCAGAATTAGTAAACTTTATGTATTAATTCAAGTTTAAGTATGTATATGAGGTTACATCTTTTTTTTTTTTTTTTTTTTTATATATAAACCTAGTAATATAATGTTTTTCATGTAAGTACAAAGGACATGGGTCATTCAAAAGCTTACATCTTATGGCATTTCATATTAATTTTATTTTACTATATGTGTTTTTTTGGGATTCTTTTTAGTGCGTGTAGTATTATTTAAAAGAAATTTAGGTTAGAATTCATTCAATTTAACTTTAATTTTAGTTTCAATTTTAAAATTACAAACTTTAAACTTTTGAAATATTTTCATTGTTAGTTATAATAGACTATATTACTTTACAACAGAAGGAAAATTACTCATAGTAAGTAAAATTATTTTTCAATATCCAAGTATATGTAAATTACAATTTTTAAACTTTTATATTTAAATATTATTTAAGTAATATTAATGGAACTTACTACAAAATTAGCCAAGTCATTTCTCGGATTTAGTAAACTTTATTTATTAATTAATTTATTTATTTATTTTAAATATATGTAACCTAAGTAATAAAGTTTCATATGTATGTACAAAGAACAGGTTAGAATTCATTTTATTTAACTACAATTTTAATTACAATTTTAAAATTACCACTTTAAAATTTTAAAATATTTTCATTGTTAGTTTTAATTGACTATATTACTTTATAACAGAAGGATAATTACTCATAGTAAGTATAATTATTTTTCCATATCAAAGTATATGTAAATTACAATTTTTAAACTATTATATTTAAATATTATTTAAGTAATATAAATGGCACAGACTACAAAACTATCTAAGTCATTTCTCAGATTTAGTAAACTTTATGTATTAATTAATTAATTTATTTATTTTAAATATATGTAACCTTAGTAATAAAGTTTCATATGTATGTACAAAGAACAATGGGTCATACATTACCTTACATCATCTAGCTTTAGTTATAATTTCATTTTTCAGTAGGTGTTTTATTGGATTCATTCAAGTGTTTGTAGTACATTTATTATAGAGGTGTTTCGGTTAGGATACATTTTATTTAACTACAATTTTTAAACGGTGTTTATGTTTTAATACGTTTTAACCACAATTTTAAATTTTAAATACAAGTTAATGCTCTGTAAATTTACATTGAGCACTATTTTGTAAAAATAAAACATCTATAAGAACACCGGATTTTATATCTTACTGTTCTTTCTTTTATTTATATACATATATATATATATATATATATATATATATATATGGCTTTTTTACCTTGATGGCAATGTTTGGCAGCAGAAAATAAGTTACCCTTAAAACAACAGCATGTTTTTGTGATTTTGGCGACAGAGCCACATAATTCACTCTGAAAATCCCATGGGGATATTGATCAATGACACAAGACTATTTTGGATAGGCAGCAATATTTTGTTTTTCTTTTTTTTTCAGGGCAAGTTTAGTGTCAAGACTTTCAACTTTTGGTTTTAGCTTCATGATCCTGACTGAAGCAATCTTGACCTGGTGGGTTGGTACCTATTATCCAGAGGCTGCAAGGATTAAGCAGGCATAACCAACCTATGTAACTGAATAGTCATCACTCTGTTGATTGTGACTCCTGGCCCTTCCCATGTATACCAATTTGGTGAAGCTTATAACTGGTAACTGCCATAACCTGTATTTTTTTTGTCTACTTTCACAGTAACTGATGAAGTATTCTGTCTGCTTTTGTGTCAGTAAGATCACCATTTCTACTGAGCCTGGGCTTCCATTTTGGAAGCAAATGCCTCACTCAAACAACACTACACACACACACACACACACACACACACACACACACACACATATATATATATATATATATATATATATATATATATATGAAAATTTCTCTGATTTAACCAGTAGAGAAGACAATATTTATGAATAAAAATGACAATTACTGCTCTCACAAACAAATGTACACAACAGATTCATAAAATGAAAAGAAAATGGTTGAATACATCAACACAGATATAATGACAATATTCTTCACACGTGACAAATACTGACGTTATTTTCAGTTAAAAATATGAAAATAGCGTTTCTCTACATTCCAGTTGCTAGGAACATTCTGTTGTTTTGTTTTTATTAGTTACCTTGTTCAATTAAATTCATTTCGTATTTTGCTTTGATAAAGTCCACATTGGATGAAACGCATCAGCAATTACTAGTTTTCCTATTGTCATTTTTATTCATGAATATATATATATATATATATATATATATCTGTGTGTGTATCTATGTGTATTTAGACAGCATATTTGCATTCAAACAGGTTTGAAATAATAATTTAGACATACTATATCTGTTATTTTTGTTTTAATCCTTTCAAGTCTATGAATCAATTCACAAGGACTTTCCCATGCAAGGGAGGCAATTTTTGTATTTCTAATTCATTATTATTTATATTTTCATATATATATATATATATATATATATATATATATATATATATATATATATATATATAAACTTTTGTTGATGCAAACATTTAAGAACTTTATTGTTATACTTATAGTTGACTTTATTTATTTTGGGCTTTAATTCTTTTATATAAAGGACTTCTAAGATTTTAAGTTTTTGATTATTATTATTATTTTGGTGTAATATAGATGTATTTTCAGATAATATCTGTCTAAACTGTGAATATGAACATGAGTATTCCTTTAAATGCTGTAAGATTGAATTATGAAAAAGTCCTTGATAGAACAATAAAAAACACAGTAAAACAAGTAAAAATGTTTTGAATTTACGGAAATACATATGCACATATACAGACAATTTAACTCCTTGAAGATGGTCTCAGATGAGAGTGAAAATACTTGGGAAAATAAAAATTAGTTGAAAGAAAATTTTGGTATTTTTCTT